AGCTGGAAGGTGGGTTAGGACCCACCAGGCAATGCCAATCTGAGAAGCTTTTTTTCTTCATCATTCACTAGAGGGCAGAGACTCCTGAGAGTTTTCCAAGCAGGAAATTTACATGATGAAGGCAACAATCAGTGACATAAACAAGATATTCTCCACAGGCAGTAAAGCTACGTGCTGAAATATTTCCATTTACATTGGAGTCTGTTGAAATAGATTTAATTTGGGGTGAAGTGTACAACATGTAATTCACACAGTTCTCTCCAATGAATTAATCCTAATACCTTGTAAGGCATGGAAAAATTTTTGCAATCAACCTTGAAAAGTAGATGATTCCTGAACCTACTGCCTTGGGCATGAAGAGGTCATTGTTCTGGGACTTAGTTACTTAGTGCATTGGACACTGATGAAGAGAAATACAGCTCCATTAGGTGTAAGATTTGGTATAGCATGCACGCAGCTTCTTGAGTACGTTTATGTGTAGCAACTTGTAAGTAATCTCCAGTGTTTGCTTGCTTCTTAGACACCTGGCACCAACACCAGTGTGTTCTCCACACAATTGGCATGTGGACCCTTTCTCAGACCATGAAAAAGGAAGAGGATTAACTTCCTAGCCCTTCTTCTGATATGGGGGTGAGAAAGAAGGCAGAGATTCTCTGTGTTACAGATTTTTAGTTGAGTAGACTCTACTATGGCAATTCTCAATAACAGGAAACAATACATGGAAAATTACACTAGAAGGGTTACTTTGCAGGTATTTGGGGTAGATGCACAGATGCATGCATGTATTCACATAAACACACACACATACACACAACTTATTTGCCAGATATATACTGCATTCACCCACTAGTGGTGGTCAGCAATCTTCAAGTTCAGAAAAGCCTATAAGATTAGACACAAGAAGCGCAGTTTAACTTCTTCCCTTCAGTCATGGAAGAGACAAATGGGTCGAGCTGGCAAATCTGTGGGTTTATAGGCCTGAGTTCAGATCTTAGTTCTGCCACTTGGTATCTGAGCTTAAATAAATTAACTTGCCTCTCTGAAAAATGAGGACAAATGCCTTTTTAGAGTTTTGTAAGGACCAAGTGAAAGAACCTGTATTAGGGTCCTTTGTAAACTAAAATATGTATTTTTAGAGACACAAACTTCTGCAGCTTCCCCAAAACTGTGGCCTGTTGCCACAGGCCAGTTACCTTCTGTCATCCAATCACTCTATTCATTCATTTATTCACTCAGTAGACATTTCTTGAACAGCAGTGAATAAAACAGACAAAAGTCCCTGCCCTCAGGAAGTTTTTATTCTAGTAGATGAATGAAGATGTAACTGGAACTGGGACCTGAAAGGTAGTAACTTTCAAACAGATGAAAGGAAAAGGCTTTCAGATGTGAAAAATGATTCAAGCTAAGTTTGCAAAACAACATGCATTTAGAAAGCAGAGACTTCATTGGCAAGTATTGGCAAGCCCAGACATTCCGTGGAAGAAACTGTGGAAAGACCTTAAGGATTTTGGAATTTTTCCTAATGGCAGCAAAAACCTAGTGACGGTTTTTGAGCAAAGATTCAGTGTGATCAAAGACTGCTTAAGAAAAATGGATAAGAATGCTTTGCAAAAGAAGGCACTACAAAGGAAGAATTAAAATGACCGAGATGTCAGGATCAGGGAGAACAATGCATTCATCTTCAAATTAATGATATATTTATTTCATTAAACTAAGAACTTTTTGCATAATTCTCTTAAAAATGAGATTTTACTCTAGTTGAATATCACAGTCCAACAAAAGTGACTTTAATATTAAAAGTTTTCATGCATAAGTGTTTTTTATGTTATAATTCTTCTTCATTAAAAAATATTAAAAATAATCATTCTTCCTTATTAACAGACACTAGGCAGGCTTACAATGATTGCTTGTTGATAAGGAAACGTGTTTTCCAGAAGCAATGTGGCTTGCCTGGGATCACTGAAAAGCTGAGTGGCAAAATAAGGAATCTACAATTTGCTTTGGCCTACTACATAATTGGCTTATTGTATGTTTTATCATCTAATAATCACTGTTATTAGCCTAGGCAGGAGACCCAACCAATAGGAGAAACATTTGCAGTTCTTACTCTCAGATTCCAATTTTATGCTAAACATTGACTCAGACAGTACCAGTTTTCTGTTCTGAGATGAGACCTTTTGCCCAGGAACCCTTGTGAGATCACTACAACAGACACATGAACCTCAGTGACCAGCATCTAAAGGTAATCCTAGAGTTGGATCTGATTTGCAAGTGGTTCTCCTTTCCCTGTGGCTAGTTCCAAGGGGGTTTGGAAAGGAACCCTTGGCAAATACTGAGATGCTCTAATGTGATTTCTGATAAGAAAGTGAGAATGTCTTTGAGAAGGCAAGATTATCCTAAGGAGTCATAGGAGAAAGTGGGTGGGGGCATGAAGGGAGAAGCCGGGCAGGTGGCCAAGCAACAGGTTTCTGTGCAAAGGTTCCACTGAAGAGTTCTGAAAAGAACTTACAAATAATTTCTCACCTGAGGTTAGCTGTGGGGACACAGCATTCCCCTCTGACTGTTTTGGCATTTGCTAAATATCTTCCTGCTCCCTTTAGACCTAAGAATGATACTTCTTGAGCTGCCTTAATTTTAACTTGTCTTTTTAAGGAAATCTGATTTTCTGCACTTTTAGGATCAAACTCAGAAGGGGGAAGGGAGATATGAATAAATCTTAACAACCAAAGAAAGAGAGAAGAAAGCTAAGCTGCAAGCATTGAATAGTTCAAAGACATTTAGAGGAAAGGCCAAGATTCATTTCATTTGGGTCTTAAGTGGAGAGGTGGAAGGTTCTTTGACTATTACAAGAAAACAGACAACCTCACAAATAACTGGGAAAACACTGCAAAGAAGCAAACCATCGTTTCCATATACTTAAGAGCTGCCAAAAAGATGCAAATGCCTGCTTTTTCCTGGCTGAACACAGGCATTACACTTTTTAATAATTTTGGCAATCACTCTGCAAAATTTAACTAGTTCACTCTCTCCGGCTTAATTTTCTGTACAAATTTAACAAATACTTTATCTGGAGCCACACTTTGACATTGCTCCCTGTTCTTCCAAAATGCATGAGCACATGTGCTTGATTTCATTTGTTTCCCCCTGTGAGACAAATTAGTGAGTTAATCTACCAATTTTACTAATCTGGTTAGGTGCAGATAAAGCAGATCTTATTATTTAAGGTATTTCCCTGGGCTTTGTAGGGGAAAAAAAAAAAAAAGACAAGCAAACAAAAAACAAATGCCCTCTTAAAAAAAGAAGGAAAAATTGACTAGCAGAAAGTAAAATGTGACGTTTGCCCTTGTCTTTTAAACCAATTATTTCACAGAAAATTCTATTGCATGTAATATGTGCACCCTGAAGTCTTTCAACAGGTTTGCTCATTGTCTAATACTCATGCAATAAGCTTCCAGATAGACTCATTTACGCAACCCCAAAAGATTTGGTTGGTCTGAAAGGAGATTCAAAATCTCAGAGTACCAGAGTCACAACAAAATTTAATCTCAATGCACACAGTTTGTTACCTCCTATTTCAAAGAACTAAGAACAAAGAAGAAATCTATCATTTTCTTTACCTCTAAGGGAGGAGATGCATTTGGGAGTCAGAAAGTGATCTGTAGAGTTGAACACACAGTTACATCTAGGAATCAAACAATTCGCTAATTTGAAGAGAAACCACGCTGGCGTCTTCATCCCAAAATTTGCCTTTAAAAAATACTCTAAGACTAGTAAACGTAGTCTTGAGTATCAGAGTTTAAAAGGATGAAAGGTAAAAAGAAAACAGCCGGTGAAGAGGCAAACTTTGATGGGGAGAATGAAACCACAAAACTGTTTTAAGCACAGTGCTCTACTTCTTAATGTAAACCACAAATTGCTTAAGCCTGTGATCAAACTCGCCCCCTTGGTTCCCAGGGGAAGTTTCCTGTTGCCCCAGCCCTGAGTAGCAAAGATGGTGTGGGACGGGTTTTTAAGAAAAGAGCAGAAAACTTCAGTTCTCCCTCTAGCCTGAATGAAATGCAATTCTCTTCATTCAGGTATACAAGGGTTAAAAAGAGTATGCTTTTTAGATACAGCTGGAAGCCATTAGCAACTCCTGAGACCATCTCAGGAACCCAGTTAGAGGGTGGGTGGCCTGGCAGAGCTCCTGGATCCAAGAGTCTGTGGATTACAGACTCTTAGCATTGGAAGGGGTTTCATTCCACCTCTCTCACCCAGTGTAGAAATCCTCTCTGTAACTGTTCAGTCTCCACTTGCATACTGCTTCCTGAGGCAGCTCTCTCCTTCACCGACAACTTCAATTTCTAGAAAGTTCTTGGCAAAACTTGCCTCTATAGAAAGTCTGCTCTTTAAGTTCTAGCTCAACCTCTGACATCACAGCACACAGCAATCCTACTTGTGAAGATAACTATCAACTGCCTCCAATTCTTGCTTCAAATGACCCATTTCTACAAACCGTCCCTTTCATTTGGTAGTTTCTAGACCATTCCCAAGCCTGCTGCCTCTTTGGACTGCGTTAATGTTTTAGAGTCCCTTCTGAAGAATGGGGCTCAGAACTGCATACATTTCCAGATCAAAGGGCACCAGTAAAGTGTCCTCTAGGGGACCTTTTCCTTCAGGAGTGTCCTGTCCTGCCATTGACTCAAGATAACATTTCTGGCCACTGGAGGTGGGTGGTCTTTTCTCAGCATTCTCTGCTTTGTTAATTGATTATTTGAATAAGCGCAGGAATCAGCCTTTGGTTTTTGTTCTCAGCAGGTTAAATGCAATGGATGGTCATTGTGGTACTTTGGATCTGGGATATGTCCTAATTACATCTTTGCTTTCATTATAGGGAGGGGATATAGAGTCAGCCCAGGCTTTTAGAGATTAAGTAAATCAATAGTTAAGACCTAACAGAGCCACCCCATAGATAAACTAATAGCACAAGGTGTAATTTTAACCCCATTTTGTATTCCCAGCTGTGCCTCAGATCAACTGCGATGTCAAAGCTGGAAAGATCATCAATCCTGAGTTTATTGTAAAATGTCCAGCAGGATGCCAAGACCCCAAATACCATGTTTATGGCACTGACGTGTACGCATCCTACTCCAGCGTGTGCGGTGCTGCCGTACACAGGTGAGTGGCTCTGAGCTACTTAATAACTCACTAGCAATCAGACTATTGGCAGAAAGCGCCCATGCAGAGTTGCCATATTTAGCAAGCAAAAATATACAAATTTTTTTAGCTCAAAACTTAATCTTCATTAAAAACATTTTTACTGGATATAGAAGTCTAGCCAACAGTTATTTTTTTCTTCTTTCATTAAGCACTTTATGCTTCATTGTCTCCTTGCATAGTTTCAGATGAGAAATCTGTATTCACTTTCTATCTTTGTTCCTCTATACATGTCATTTTTCCTTTGGTTACTTTTAAGATTTTCTCTTTATCATCTGTTTTCAAAAATGTGGTTATAATATGCTCCTGTGAAGTTTTCCTTGTTATCCTGATTGAGAGTCACAGAGCTCTGTGATATTGAATTTGGTATTTCAAATATCTGATATTTCACAGATATTTGAAATATCAAATTTGATATTTCATCAAATTTGAGGATTTTAAGCCATTGTCTCCAAATATTCTTGTTACCCTTGCCCCAGCCTCTCCTTCTGGAACTTTATGGTACACTACTTCAAACTATCCCACAGGTCACTGAGACAATGGTCTTTTAAACAAAAAAAAACGTTTATTTTAGATTCCAGGGGTACATGTATGTGCAGGTTTGTTACAAAGGTATATTACATGATGCTGGGGTTTGGAGTACAACTGAACCCATCACCCAGGAAGTGAGCATAGTACCAAATAGGTAGGCTTTCAGGCTTTGCCTCCCTCCCTCTGCCTTCTTCTATTCCCTAGTTTCTGTTGTTCCCATCTTTGCATCCATGAGTAGCCTATACTTAGCTCCCCCTTATAAGTTAGAACATGGAATATTTGGTGTTCTGTCTCTGCATTAGTTCACTTAGGATAATGACCTCCAGCTGCATTCATGTTTCTGCAAAGGACATCATTTTGTTCTTTCTTATGGTTGATAGTATTCCATGGTGTATATGTACCACATTTTCTTTATCCAGTCCACCATTGAGGCACCTCAGTTAGTTCCATGTCTTTGCTGTTGTGAACAGTGCTGCAATGAATATACTGGTACATGTGGCTTTTTGGTAGAAGGATTTATTTTCCTTTTGGAATATACCCAGCAATGGGATTGCTGGGTCAAATGGTTGTTCATTAGTTCTTTGAGAAATTTCCTAACTGCTCTCCACATTGGCCGAACTAATTTGCACTCCCACTAACAATGTATAAGCACTTCCTTTTCTCTGCAGCCCACCAATATCTATTATTATTCTGCTTTTTAATAAAAGCCATGCTGACTGGTGTAAGGTGGTATCTTATTTTGGTTTTGATTTGCATTTCTCTGATTATTAGTGATAATGAGTATTTTTTCATGTTTCTTGGCTGCTTGTATATTTTCTTTTGAGAAGTGTCTATTCATATCCTTTGCCCTTTTTTTTTTTTTTGAGACAGAGTTTCACTGTTGTTACCCAGGCTGGAGTGCAATGGTGCAATCTTGGCTCACCGCAACCTCCACCTCCTAGGTTCAAGCAATTCTCCCGCCTCAGCCTCCTGAGTAGCTGGGATTACAGGCATGCGCCACCATGCCCAGCTAATTTTTTGTATTTTTAGTAGAGATGGGGTTTCACCATGTTGACCAGGATGGTCTCGATCTCTTGACCTCGTGATCCACCCGCCTCGGCCTCCCAAAGTGCTGGGATTACAGGCTTGAGCCACCGTGCCCGGCCCCCTTGCCCATTTTTTAATGTGGTTATTTGTTCTTAGCTTGTTAAATTGTTTAAGTCCCTTATAGATTCTGGATATTAGACCTTTGTTGAATGCACAGTTTGCAAATGTTTTCTCTCATTCTATAGGCTGTCTGTTTACTCCACTGATAGGTTCTTCTGCTGTGCAGAGCTCTTTAGTTTAATTAGGTCCCGCTCATCAATTTTTGTTTTTGTTGCAATTGCTTTTGAGGACTTAGACACAAATTCTTTGCCAAGACCTAATGCCGAGAAGGGTATTTCCTAAGGTTTCTTCTAAGATTTTTATAGTTTGAAGTCTTACATTTAGGTTTTTAATCCATCTTGAGTTAATTTTTGTATATGGTAATAGGGAGGGTTCCAGTTTTATTCTTTTGCATATGGATAGCCAGTTATCCCCAACACCATTTACTGAATAGGGAGCCCTTTCTCTGTCTCTTATTTTTGTCAACTTTGTGAAAAACCAGATAGTTGTAGGTATATGGCTTTATTCCTTAGTTTTCTATTCTTCATTTTCTATGCATCTGGTTTCTGCACTGATACCATGTTGTTTTGGTTGCTGTAACCCTGCAGTATTAAGTCTGATAATGTGATGCCTCCAGCTTTTTTCTTCTTGCTTAGAATTGTTTTGGCTAGTCAGGCTCTTTTTTGGTTCCACAGGAATTTAGAATAGTTTTTTCTAAATCTGTGAAAAATTACATTGATAGGTTGATAAAAATAGTGTTGAATCTGTACATTGCTTTAGGTAGTATGGTTATTTTAATAATATTGATTCTTCCACTCTATGAGCATGGAACGTTTTTCCGTTTGTTCATGTCATTTCTGATTTTTTCCAGGACTGTTTTATAGTTCTCCTTGTAGAGATCTTTCACCTCCTCAGTTAGATGTATTCCCAAGCATTTTATTCTTTAAATGCGATTGTGTTCTGATTTGGCTCTCAGCTTGAACATTATTATGTACAGAAATGTTACTGATTGTTTGTACATTGGTTTTGTATCCTGAAACTATATTGAAATAATTTATCAGCTCAAGGAGCTTTTTGGTGCAGTCTTTAGGGTTTTCTAGGTATAGAGTCATACTGTCAGTGAAGAAAGATAGTTTGACTTCTTCTTTTCCTATTTAAATGCCTTTTATTTCTTTCTCTTGCTGGTTGCTTTGGCTAAGACTTCTGCTACTATGTGAAATAGAAGTGACAGTGAGCATCCTTGTCTTGTTCCAGTTCTCAAAGAGAATGCTTCCAGCTTTTGCCCATTCAGTATGAGGTTGGTTGTGGGTTTGTCATAGATGGCTTTTATTATTTTGAGGTTATGTTCCTATAATACCTAGTCAGTTGAGAGTTTTTATCATGAAAGGATGATGGATCTTATCAAAAGCCGTTTCTGTCTATTGAGATGATCACACGGTTTTTGTTTCTAATTCTGTTTACATGGTAAATTATTTTTATTGGCTTGCATATGTTGAACCAACCTTGCATAGCAGGAATAAAATCTACTTGAAGGTGGTGAATTCACTTTTTGATGTGCTGCTGGATTTGGTTTGCTAGTATTCTGTTGAGGATTTTCGCATCTATGTTCATCAGAGATATTGGTCTGTAGTTTTCTTTTTTCACATGTCTCAACTAGGTTATGGTATCAGGATGATGTTGGCTTCTTAAAATGAGTTAGGGAGGATTCCTTACTCCTTGATGTTTTGGAATAGTTTCAGTAGTATTGGTACCAGCTCTTTGTATTTCTGGTAGAATTTGGCTGTGAATCTATCTGGTCCAGGGCTTTTTTTGGTTAGTAGGTTTTTTATTATTAATTGAATTTCAAAACTTGTTAGTGGTCTGTTCAGGGTTTCAATTTCTTCCTAGTGCAATCTTGGGAGGTTGTGTGTTTACTGGACTTTATGCATTTTGTGTAGATTTTCTAGTATGTGTACATAGAAGTCTTCATAACAGTCTCTGAAGATCTTTTGTATTTTGCAGGATTGGTTGTAATGTCATCTTTGTCATTTTGGATTGTGCATATTTGGGTCTTCTTTCTTTTTCCCTTTGTTAATCTAGCTAGTGGTCTATCAATCTTGTTTATCCTTTCAAAAAACAAACTTTTGGTTTCATTGATGTTGTGTATGGATTTTCACAACTCATTTTTGTTCAGTTCTGCTCTAATTTTAGTTATTTATTTTCTCCTGCTGGTTTTGGGGTTAGTATGTTCTTATTTTTCTATTTCCTCTAAGGTGTGATATTAGATTGTCAATATGAGATATTTAGAACTTCTTGATGTAGGCATTTTGTACTATCTATTTTCCACCTAACAATGCTTTCACTGCATCCTAGAGATTTTGGTATGTTGTGTCTCTATTTTCATTAATTTCAATAATTTTTTTTGTTTCTGCTTTAATTTCATTGATTAACCAAAAGTTATTCATGAGTGGGTTCTTTAATTTCCATGTAACTGTGTGGCTTTGAGAGACCTTCTTGGTACTGATTTTTATTTTTATTGTAGTGTGTTCTAAGAGTATGATTGGTATGATTTCAAATTTTTTAATTTATTGAGATTTGCTTTATAGCTAAGCATGTGGTCAATCATAGAGTGTGTTCCATGTGCAGATGAGAAGAATGTATATTCCGTGGTTGTTGGGTGGAGTATTCTGTAGATGTCTATTACAGCCAATTGATCAAGTGTTGAGTTTAAATCCAGAATTTCTTTGTCAGTTTTCTGTCTCAATGATCTAACTCTGTCAGTGGGTTATTGAGGTCCCCTACTATTATTATGTGGCTAAGTCTTTCCATGGGTCTAGAAGTACTTTTATGAATCTGGGTGCTCCAATGTTGGGTGTGTATATATTGAGGATAGTTTTCTTGTTGAATTGAACTCTATCATTATGTAATGCCCTTCTCTGTCTGTTTATTGTTGTTGGTTTAAAATCTGATATAAAATTAATGACCTCTGTAGATCTTTCTTCATTCCTTTACTTTGAACCTATGGGTATTTTATGTGTGAGATGAGCCTCTTGAAGATAGCAGATGGCTGGGTCTTGTTTCTTAATCTGACTTGCCATGCTATGCCTTTTAAGTGGGGCATTTAGACTATTTACATTCAAGGTTAATATTGATATATGAGGTGTTGACCCAATCATAATGTTGTCAGCTGGTTGTTTTGTAGACCTGATTGTGTAGTTGCTTTATAGGGTCTATGGGTTATGAACTTAAGTGTGGTTTTGTATCAGGTATCATTCTCTCTTTTCTGTATGTAGAACTCCCTTACAGAAACCCTTGTAAGGCTCATC